AAATGCCTATTCGTTGCCTACGATGAATCAGCGATTCGTTGATTTAGCGACGAACACTGATTTTACAGCGGAGCTATCACTCATTCTGTATCGACATAATAAAAGTTGCCAGGTCAAATACTAACCCTTCTTGCGGTTCTCGCTAACAGCGTTCTACAGGGCCAGCCACGCGCGCACCACCTATCCGTAACTCTCGAACACCAGCCTTTTCGATGTGGCACTCGATAACGGACCGCTCAAAAATTGGTTAAATTCCGAAAATTTCGCTCACGGTACTGACTTCAAATCGCTGCAAATCGAAATTCCGTCACAGCTACGATTATACATATATTTCACGCGACGAATTTCAAAAATATTTCATTTCCATCGGCGTAAAGGAATGCGTCGCTGCAACGCTTCCTGGTATTGAAAAATCGAATCACCAGCGTTTGGCGCATTATTTTTATTTATTTCCTCCTAAATCGATTACAATTGGATGTACACGGTACGGTACGAATCTCGCGGCGTATGATTTTGACGCAGATACGAACATCCGTTAGCTGAGGTTCGTACGTGATTTCACGTAAGCCACACGATATTCTGCTTATTTTTCCTATTACGGTGCGAATACGTTACTCGATCGTGACTATCCGTAGATTCTGATCGTCGACGATGCGACCCTTCGCATCGTCCGTCCGTGTAAATGGGTTCTTCCACGTAGAGTAATCCATTTGGAACGGACGATTACTTCGCGCAACTAAAATTTCAAACGATCGTACGGATTACTGGGCGCAGTTATCCATACTAATAAGCTTCATTCTCTCTGTGGTGACTTCACGCGAATAAGTTACCTAGATAGAAATTGTGGCGGAATATGTAAATATTGCGTCGCGGACCGGCAAACGTTTATGAAATCGATCACGAAAACTCGCTGTAAATAAAATGAATTTCGATCAGTCGATGCTTGAAAGAGAGCTGACAGCATCCATTCAAAACGATGTAATGTAAGTGCGAATTTTATTCGCGTCAATATTACAGCAGAAACAAGAGGAAGAGAAAAATTCGTTAATCGTTAAATGTTCCGTTTACGAATAGAAGGATTTACGATAGGGTATGTGCAAATGGAAAGAATTGAAAAGAAAGACGGCGGAGGAAACGTGTTTTGGGAGGAAATCGGCTTTAAACAACGAGGACGTTTAAAGAGGCGAGAATAAACGATAGGTGACCCTTGTATTGCATTGGACAACGATGGTATCGACACGCGGTCACGCGTTTCTACCTACGAGAAGAAAATGCTGCGAGGAGAAAACGGTCGAAAGCCCCAACACCAACTTCGCCATTAACGCCCTTTGTCAGGATCACTATGCCATTCACCCCGTGTCCTCCTTCCTCGTTCTCACAGAGAGTAAAAAGGCCCGATAGAATTTATAAAAATTCCAATGACCCGATGCCAGAACAGTCCTATAGATAGTAATTGCATCGGTTACTTTTTATTTGACCGAAAAAATATGCACGTCCAGCGAGACGAACGATTCGAGTAATATTTTGTCAGCGGAATCTATTTCGTGTTTCGTGACGAGATCGCGGGAAATTTTATTTCCGTCGCTCCGTATTTCCATTACGAAACTCACGCTCGATCGACTGTTTCGATTTCTATCTTTTGTTTAGACGACTCGTTAAAACAACGAGTTATTTATTATTTTGAAAATTTTCGGACGGGTTCTAAACGATGTACAGCTGTGGATTATATTCAGCTTCGTTAACGGAATGAGTAACTGGTGGAAATAATTTTTAGCCGGAAACGAGGAAATCGATAGGTGTACACGTACCGTGCAAAACTGAAAACAATCGGAGCGAAATGAAGATAGATAATTTATTTAGATGGCGAAATGAACGAATGAAAGATACACTCGATAGCTATACGATGGACAAATCGAAATCATTAACAGAACGAACAGACTCGAATCAGTTACGAAAACATGTCCGATGATAGTCGAAACGACGTTTCGCTTAAAAATACGAGCGCGGGTAACGCGTGTCATAGCTAGCCAAATTTACAAGATCGTGACAGGGATGGGTGATTCGTGAAATGCGAGAAACGCGTAGGCGACGGCATCCGAGGTATAAAATTGAACGGTACGCGCTGTCAACTTGACATCGAGGCGATGATTTACAAATAAAAACCTCTGGGCAAACTGTTTGTCCGCGGTTTCTATTCGGCTATTATGACAGATGACGTTACATTTCGGATCTCGTCTCACATATAGCGAATCTTTCCTTTTCTAAAAGATTGCCGAATAGAATCCAATCAAATCGGATCGAATCGAATCGAGTCGAAGCTAATTTAAACGAATGAGATTTTCGAGCGCGTGAATTTTCTCGCGCGAGAAAGAATCTGCTCTCTTTTGTAATGAGCGTCGACGAGACGGACCGCGTATAAAATCTTTGTGGCACGTTTCGAGGCGAATTGTTACACGTGTTTGCGTAAATTTCTGAACTCGAAGGAACAAGGGCGCGAAATGACGAAGCGAGAAGAAAAGAGAAAAGTAGAGAAGAGAAAAGAAGAGAAGAGAAGAGAAGAGAAGAGAAGAGAAGAGAAAAGGCCAAGTGGCGTCGATATGGCGACCTGAATTCCCAGGAGAAAAGGGAAATCAAAAAAGCAAAGAGTCGTTGCAAATCAGAGAAGCGAATGCTCGCAGTCGCCGCTACGTGAACCCACAGAACCGCCCTATTGTTCACGCCCGAACAATGCTGTCTTTGTCGCGATGTGATTAAGCTCTGAATAAATTTTCTATTACGTTGTTCTACACCGGGCTTTCCTCCATTTTCGAATACTCTGTTTTTTTCTTCTGGTGGCTGGCCCATGGTCTCGATTCTCTCTCGGTAAAACGCCGACGCGCGAACGCCATCCAACGCGAGAACATATCACGAATTAACCAAAGTTTTTTTTCCCCATTGATCTGATTTCTTTTCCGATTCTTTCTCCCCGTCAGTCAGGATGCTATGTAAAGTTAGGCGAAGTTCCGAGCCGAACGGAACTGCGAGCACCGTCTATTATTTAGAAACGATCCAACTTTTTCTATTTTCCGCTAGAACGAACGGTTTCGATAAAAACCTCGCGGTAGAGAACACGGGAACAAGATGATTGATTCGCAATTTATGCTAATTATCGTTGATTGAAAGAAACTGAAGAACGAATTTCTTTATCTATAATAAATTTATTCTTTAAACTTCCTATATCAATTACATCAAACCTGAAACAGCGTAATGTTAATTCTGTTTCAGCAGAATTTCTCATAAAAAAAAACTCTTTTATCTCCCGAATACATCAGAAATAATAACGAAGAGGGAAGACAGTATATTCAGAAAGGTTCTCATTAAAAAGGGAATCGAGAAGAAATATAAAATACAGTTCGTAAAATGGAAACGCCGGCTGTATATACGTTTGAATTTTCAGCTACGAGACATCCGGTATTAATTCTTCCACGTAGGATATCTTACATATGCCGCAAGGAATTCAGAATCCTGGGATCTCGGAATCTCATGTTCACATATCCGCACATACCACACCTTCAGTCTGCAAGCTGTGCTTTGTAATTTCATCCTTCCGCTATCTTTTGTATTAAGCCCGCGCGCGCGTTCGCTACGTAACCTTCAGTGTACAATGTACACGACGCTTTTGATTGACACATCGCATTTGATATCCGAGCATGATTTGACAGCCAAATCGAACTAAATAAAAATTTCAATGCGCAAATATTTTACATCGAGGATAGTCGCGAATATGTTTACAAAAATATACAACGTACGTAAATAGGTACGCGCATCGAGACCTTTTAATATAGCGCGAACGTTGCCGAATGAAATCTTGGAAAAAAGCTAATCGTAAATAGAAGGGACCATCTGTTCGATGACGAAAAGGTTAATACAATATCTGATCGATCGTTTCCTTGACTGGAAGATCCTCCGCCAGCGTACATATACACACATACATATATACATACATACTGAGAAAGGTTTCGTATCGTTGAACAAACATTCCGAAACAACTTGGCTCTCGTTGCTATGTTAATTCGTTATTGAGGCCGATTCGATTCATTTACGGAGCGCTTCGATAAAAACTATTCCGCGATGCGAAGGTAGATACCTATAGTTAACAACCGCATCCACGTCCCGCGTTGTGAATAATACAATTCGTGCTTTACACCGTACTATAGAAGCAATATTACGTACTTTTCCTTTGTGAAGAGGCATTGCGAAGGTAAATACAACACCGAGCACTCCTGAATGTATGTAAAACCTTGAATCGAGGTTACAGTCGAGGTCGAGATCGGTCGATTAATGATACTCCCGCTGCAACGTATGTTTGCGATTTTTCAGTTACTTAGTTGCCGAAGCTAATGTCATCGGTCACGTTACCGTCTATCGTTCTTTGTCGCGTTCGATTTCGTCACGAAACGAACCGAGCGTCCGTTTCACGGTACAACAAAGATAAGGTGAACTACGGCGATAATAAACACCACGCTCTGCCAGCTCGTGTCCTACGAATCTACGCGAGGTAAACCTAATAGAAAATAAACGAAACGATGCTGCTCTCGCAGACGAACGATAGTCAAAGAAAGTCAAGCACGCGACGATGTCTATATTATATTGTACAAGTATCAGACAATCCAAATTCAAGTTTGCACGTAAAAATACAATAGATGTTTCAGCAGGTTGGCGTGCTGCAAGTTGCCTCGATATACAATAAAGATTTCAGATAGATTTCGTAAAAGTTTCATGTCCTGCCTCAAACTGTACGTATATATAGGTGTGTCAATGCACATACACGCGGGTACGTATGTCGCGTGTGTACGTATACGTCCGTACACATTTATTACTTGTTCAAACGATGCATGTAAAAACGTACACGAGCGTAGATATTCGAACAAATACACTCTCGCATACAGAGACATGCTCGTATGCGCGCAGTGACAACGCAAAAGGAAAAAAAACAGGAAAAAAAGAATATATACACGTACCTGACAACATATAATCCTCTGTTACTTGTCCGCTCTTCCCTCCGAAGGCATTTATCTGCATTATCTTCCTGGTGGATTTCTTGTACTGACTATGTCTGATAAACTGGTTGCCACCCCCATCACGAACTAGCTACCGATCCTTGCGATACCATCCACCAAGAATACACTACACACTATTCGAGGAAAGGAATCTCTCCCCCTCCCTCCCCCTCTTTCTCCCCGCTCCGTTCCTCTTACTCGCTTTTATTTTTCTTCTTTGACTCTCTTCTATGTCTCCTTTTTTCGAATTAATTTGCTATTCGGTGGCCTCAGGAGAACGATGTAGCATGATGCTCTTCTTGCTGCGAGGGGTTTACGGTCACGAAAACTGCGCAGAGTCACAGGGTCGCGCAAGATGAGAACGGCTCGATCGGATCGAGAGGGAAGAGGATCCAAAGTGCAGCGATAGGAATACGGTCGGTACGGCTTGAAGAACGAAGAAAAGAGCGAAAAGACGGACCGGTCAGTGACGGCGGTCGATAGATGGTGACTTTCCAAGCCGTCGATTGTAGCACGTTAACGGATAAGTATAGGAAAGAGTGATCGAAAAAGATCCGTGATAAGAAAAACGCGACGAGGTAAAGAATACGTACGGAGATCGCGTACCATTGGCCGAGCGACAAAACTCGACTGTTTTCCAACGGTAGCGAATCGAACACGATCAGTCACGTTCGCCGGATGTAGCGCGAATAGAGGGTTGGTCTTGCGCGGCAGCGCGCTCACGCGGTCATCCGGTAAACTGACAGACCACCCCTGAAAGACCTCCAAACTGTCAGCCTTCCCACCCTGCTCTTTTGCGGCTGCGCGTTTTCCTGAACCCGCTGTCCCTTACCCTGGTGCCGATGTGCTCTACTTCTCCCACCACCGACTAGCGATGGCCCTTCGATATTCTCCCCGTCGCAAGTTTTCGAGCAAGTTGCTCCTACGAGGACCCGCGAGTCTCGCCAATTTCCCTTGTATTTAACCTCGCATAGCCGCCAGCCTCATTAATACGATATACAAAGTTTAGTTTCCCTTCGCGAACCTTTGTTATTCGATGATAACGTAATAAGTGCGACTAAATTTGATTATCTAAAGCACCTACATTATCTAGATTACCTAAAGTAGATTAACCAAGTTGCATAGAGAGTATGTAACGAGAGTTCGAAAATGTTCTGCGGCGTCTCGAAGTCATCGCTACCGTAGGAACCGATTCTCGTCCCTTATTTCCACGCCCCGTGAAAAACACCCCACCAGCCAGCCACTGGAAGGAAGCTCGATCGTATCTACCCCGTGACCCCACATGCCAGCATTCTCTGTTAAAAGGCTTTCCACTTTACTTCACTCCCGATTCTTCTTCGCTGACTCGGTCATCCTTCGGGAAAAGACTTTGCTTTCTGGAACACTTTGAAAATTGCCAAACGTCTGGTGAGCCGAATTCAAACAACATAGCTCGAAACTTGAAACTCCGAAACTAACGATCCAACAACCAAATTACTTACTTCTTCATTGGCCCAATTTTCTTCGCCAATTTCTCGAAGCTCGAAACACGATACGAAGCATGCCTGTCTATCGTGCGTCATACTCTTTTATTTCGTCTAAATTGATACTCAGCATTTAAAATTACTTATGTCGATACTCGGTATTTAAAATTAACGCGAAATATCCTTTCGGCACAAACACACGGTTGTGATAACAGCGTCCATGTCTGACTAACGAGATTATGATGATCATATTATTAATGAAATCATTAATTATTCGCAACTTCACGCAAAAACTCCATATTCGTGAGCACATCCGATTAAACACGAAACACTGAAATAATTTGGAACTTTATTCTTAGGTATAAGAGTAATGTTAGTAGATATTTAATTTCGTATATAAATACCACGCAATTTTTCGTTTCTTACCGCGCTTTTAAGATGCATTCAACTACACTTTCTTTTAAACACGCTAGGTAGAGCTACTAGAGATTTGGCGCGTTTTCGCTATAGTATTAGATGTATATATTAGAAAGTTTGGGAGCTGTAAGTTTAGAAATTATATTTAATTCGATCATCAAACTTGACATAGATTTTTAAAAACGCGAATGAAACGTAAGAATAAATTTCATGTGACATTCTTATCATTTTCGCGTCACATGCAACGTTATCGATACAGTATAAGATAAAATTACGACATTAGCGATTAGAATTAAAATTAAATCAATGATTAATAATTAAATAATTAATTAATTAAGAAACAGGATAGACGTGACCGTCGGTGGTTACATCGATCATCATTGACTAACGTCGAATCAAAGGATTTCTACTATATCATAATACGAAAATGAAGAAACTATCCTCCTGCGGATTCCTTTTCTTATCTTACTTGCAAATAAGATGACAAACAGTCATCAAACTTAGAAACTAAAAGTTTACAGTATAAAATGTCATATGTAAGCACTGAACCAAAACCGAATATCAAAATTTGTATAAATAACATTTGAGTATAAGAAAGAAAATACTTTTATAATCGATACGACTATATGAAGGAAAGAATTATATTCTGCGCAAAGCCATCTGTCTTCTTACAAGTTAAATTGCAAATGTTGCACATCTTCGGAAAGATTTCCTGTACGCATGTTATAAATCTTGCGGACTAGTACAGTCCTTATTCTTCACAATTATCTTTACGCTATCTTTCATTGTTTTTAATTGAGTTGTCTTTACTTTTTACTTGATTGATTCATTCAAATATGATAAATGCACTTTAGGAAAAACTCGATGAATGACTGACGTCATCTTCAAGATGTCCTACTTTTACATAGTTTTTGTGATATCAACTTCGTATAATTTGTATTCTCAAACGGTATTTAATATTTCTATAAAGAAACGCTCGTTATGAAACTAAATCTGAATATTCCAATGAAATATGTTTCTTCATAAATATCAAGCCTATTAATAAATTAGCGACGACAGGTGCGGCGTTTCTCGTAACGAATCATTCCTTTAATTTGGATGATCGATCTCTTTGGAGGTGGGCGTTTGATATTCATCTCGTACTCTTACTCGCGTCATTATACCTTGACTATACAAACGCTATCAAGAATTCCAGGTGTCTCTCGTGCCAGACGTCGATCGTGTCGAGCAAATTCGTTTCGAGGTAACGAGGCACAAAGATCGCGCGAGTCGATGACGATGGGAAGCTACGAGGTGTTCCCTCACAATTTTGCTATATTTATATTAGAAGCACACGAGTTTTTAAGTCGCGATTAAAGTTTCAATTCGCGCGTTTCAAATTTTCTGCGACAAGTGTCAAAGTGATATAAGTGATTGTTTCTACAAATTTTGTATTTTCTCAACCATACGCGCACCGGGTACACAAAGAAGTCGGTTTCGTCATCGCTCGAATTCACTGAATCCCTGATAAACGATGTTAAGGTTGTTGACATCTGTTTTGTTCCTGTCCTTCGTGCAATGTATTCTTCCTCCCGCCATACTAGAGACTGTATACCAATTTTTCACCGAAATCCCAACCGTGGACAATGACTTTGTCACCGATGAAATATCTATGTCCAAGGAATACGATTTCATCGTAATTGGAGCTGGTTCTGCCGGATCAGTAGTGACAAATCGTCTGACAGAAAATTCTAATTGGAATGTACTGTTGCTAGAGGAGGGCAAGGACGAAATCTTTGTTACAGATATACCATTGCTAGCTTCAGTTTTGCATATCACGGACTATGTCCGATTGCATAAAAGCGAGCCAAGACCCCGAAACGCCGATGGATCTGGCGGTTACTGTTTATCGATGAACGAGGGTCGTTGCAATTTGCCAGGAGGAAGAGCTGTTGGTGGTAGCTCGGTGGTGAATTTTATGATATATTCGAGAGGATCGCCCGCGGATTATGACGCTTGGGCTGCACAAGGTAATCCAGGATGGAGTTATCAGGATGTGCTACCGTATTTTATCAAATCGGAGAACTGCAAGCTTCTGGATCAAGATATTAGGTACCGTATCAAGTTTACCCTTTGACCGTATAATAAAATGAAAGAACGAAGAATTCATAATGAACGATTTGCAAAATAATTACGTCCCTGGCCCCAAGATTTCTTATAAATTTCTTGCAAATTCTTTCATTTTCCATGAAGCTTAAGCTAAATAAATTTGTTGACAGATCGTAGAAAAATATGATTGGCTCGAAAATTATTCAGAAAACATATTAGAGTTAAAATGTGAAGTTTATAGCTTATTATATTTGACTTCGAGTCTCTCGTGCTACGCTGTGAATAGGAAAATATAAAAAGAGTCATCGCGAACTGTCTTGAATATCTTTCATCTACATTTTCGTACTAATAACGCAACAGTCGAATCTACGAATAAAACGGCAGCAATATATTAGTTAACACTTTACCGACCGATAGCCTATTAATCGGCTTTTTGTCGCCGACAATCTTTCTCATTATTTGAGCAGTAATTCGTTACTAAGTACTAAGGTATCAGTTGCGTCAGTTGCGTTACTCTGTAAGCTCCCACAGTTTTATACCAATTTGAAAAACTTACCGTTCGCGATGAACGAAGAGAATGCTATTGGAAGGTCTAAATCGAAACAGAGCCAGCGCCAGGGAGAATCTGCGCCTGAGATGCCGGTCGGACGTGCGTATGTTGTTGAATTGCTAGCGGTCGGTAAAGTGTTAATAATAAACATATCCACGGTAAAATGTACTAATTGAAGATACATGCAAATGAACTCGCGAATACTAGAAAGTGACTATGGAATATATGCTAGTTCAATGTTTGCTTAACAAACGTTTTAAGAGAACTTGAGAAACAGCGTGATAATGTTACTTAAATTAAATTCCTTGTTTACCGATTAAATTCTTCTTCTGACACGGTTTATCTCGTCAGATACCATGGCCGCGGAGGATATCTTGACGTGACGTCTCCGTCGTACGTGTCTCCTCTAAGAGAATGTTTTCTCCAAGCTGGCGAAGAACTAGGATATGATGTAATTGATTACAACAGCGACAGCCTTATTGGCTTCTCTACGGTTCAGGTTCATCTACGAAACGGACACAGGGTCAGTGCTAACAAAGCGTTCTTAAGACCTATTCGACTCAGGAAGAATTTGCATCTTTCCAAATTATCAAAAGTAACAAAGATCATCGTCGATCCAAAGACGAAAACAGCCATGGGTGTAGAATTCGTTAAGAATGGCAAAGCACTGTTTGTCTCTGCCAAGAAGGAAATAATACTTTCAGCAGGTACCTTGGAAGAGCTGCTAATATTTCTTAATATTCCTTATGGTCGCCAAACTGTTGCGAAAACTCTTCGTTAACGTCTCTTACTCGTGTATCTATTATTTAGGTACCCTGAACTCGCCACAGTTGTTGATGCTCTCGGGAATAGGGCCGAAAAGTCATCTCGAGTCTTTAGGTATCCATGTAATCGAGGATCTACCGGTTGGATATAATCTTCAAGATCACGTCAGCATGTCGGCACTGACTTTTCTCGTAAACGAGAGCGTGACTATAGTCGAACCTCGGCTAGCTTCGAATCTAGCCAACACCGTTGACTATTTCGTTAAAGGGACCGGGCCATTGACGTTGCCCGGAGGAGCCGAGTGTCTCGCCTTTATCGATACGAAACAGGATTATCCAAAGAATCTAGTCAAGAAGTTGCAAATTAATACTAGCAATTTTCACAGTAAAACGCGCTCGAAGAGATACAACGACAAGAGAGGTAACGGTAAAGAAATTCCTCGAGCTATACACGTTAAATGGCGATTAACAATTTAAACGATATCGCACAACGTTAACGTTACTACTTTCGTTTTTCAGTCTCTTTACCTCCGAATATAACTTCCATCAATGTAAATTCGGATTACTTGAAAGATTATCCACGCCCGACTTCGCGGGATAACAAAGGGACAGATGTTCCGGACATTGAACTGGTTTTAGGTATAAGCGCTCTAACCGGTGATATATCGGGCAGTTACAGGGGACTTCTCGGTTTAACGGACGAATTTTATAAAGAAGTGTTTGCCGGTTACGAAGGTTTTGACGCCTTCTCCATTGTCCCGGTACTCTTACAGCCAAAAAGTAGGGGAAGAATTACCTTGAAATCGTGTGATCCACATGACCGACCTATTTTCGACATAAATTACTACGATCACGAAGATGATCTCAGAACTATGGTTCGAGGCATTAAAAAGGTTGTTACTTTCAATGTAATGTTTATCTTGATATCGCCACGGTTATTTATCTTGCGTTTCACAATCACCGCTTTTTCAACGCATCTACCATAGAGTTTCCTTGCAGCTATTCATTTTTATTGTACATCTCTGTCGCGGTTGCTCCTACTGTTTCTTCCCATCTTCCTTCTTTTTCTGCTATCGCTACCGCTATTAATATGGTAATAGGATCTAAAGTTAACTTTTCATTGCTGTTTCAGGCTATAAATGTTGCATCGACTGAAGCCTTCAAACGTTTCAACGCGACGCTATTACCAGTCGCGTTCCCAGGATGCAAACACGTCTCGTTTGGTTCTGATCTGTACTGGGCTTGCGTCTCGAGGCACGTGAGTACGACCCTAGGTCATTTCGTAGGAACGTGCAAGATGGGCCCAAGGAGGAACTCGGGTGTGGTGGATCATAGGTTACGAGTGCACGGGATCAATGGTCTCAGAGTTGTGGATGCCAGTGTGATACCTACTATAATAGCAGGTCATACGAATGCGCCTGCTTATATGATCGCTGAAAAGGCTGCGGATATGATGAAAGAAGACTGGGAAATGTCGAATTCCGCACGCAGAATGTCGTTTAATTAAATATTGGAAAATGTAGGGAACAAATTAGAAGCTAAAGATCGTACATCAACGCATGTGTTTTCGTATAAATTTGCTTTCGTTGCTATTCGTTCGAGTATAGTGCTGCTACAGAAGCAACTGCCTGATCTTTGCGCGATTATTTGTGTTAACCGTTGGACGACGAAGTTGGCTTAATTCGGAATTTACGTATTGTTATTCTATCAAACTACGTATATGAACGAATTCATTTTTTAAGTAACTTTAGTCGTCACATAGATGGTTTATCGCCATAAAATAAAATATTCGACGCTCGATAGAATGATACAGCTTCCGCTGGATGAGTGTCAATACACGTCGAACAGCGATTAACCAACTGTGATATAAATAAATACGAACCGGTTGGAGAAAATGGATTTGTCTTTGGTAGCGATATGTTCATCTCTATCTACACAAATGCAGCGTATTTACAATGAAAGAAAACATTTGAATAAATATAGTTGTACAATAATAACGTCATTATAACTCGATAAAACTGCGAAAGACCATGATATCTTTCCATCGTTGCTATAAGCGACTGTGTAGCTCTTATTCACAAAGTCAATGAAAAACTCGCAAAAAATACAAAATTTAGAACTAGAGGAAGTTGTTGCAAGGACTCTGTAATTGTCGCAGCGCCTGAAAACGAATGAAATGCATTTGTTGTGCGATCCAAAACGAAAAATGAAAATCTTCGTTTCACAAATTGCAATGAAGAACGAGAGAACTGTTACCATTGTCGCTATATCGGATGCAATCGTGCAGTTCCTCTGCCATAATGTAATCCTTGGCGCATTTGCAAAAGCCTGGAAAATAGATCGGTACTCTGAGAAGCGGTATACCTACGAACTTTTGCTTCGTTGACGAACGTTAAAATGAATTCTTACCATCTATACAATCAACGTTCATCACCTCGGTGGAGTTGGAGTCCCTGTACGTTTCGGTAATACACTCTCTATGACTTTGGCATCTGTTATTCAACACTAAAATGACGATTCATCGGTCGAATTAGTTTTGATTCGCCGTGAAGCGACGCTAACGGTACTCACACGTATCTTCGAGACAAATAGAACCGCGTTGATGGAAGTACTCGATACACCTGCATCTGCCATTAGGTCCGCACTCGGACTCCCTCTGAAATAACTGGCATTGAGAATTCTCTTGACACGGTTCTCCGATGGATTCGCTAACTTTCAAACACCGTTTGCCGTCGCTCGATAGCACATGATCCACTTTACACGTACAGAAGTCGAGGCACCTCGAGTTCTCCGCGATGCAATCGTAATCTTTGGAGCATTTGCCACCTAATTCTGTCAAGCCACGCACGGATCACTTTGATTTTCTTCTCCGTTCAAGCACCATTATTACGTAAATACATGCATACAATGTAACAAGTGGCACGCTTACCAATATTTGGAATGCAAACGTCGTTGCGTGGATTCGCATGATAGTTCAAGGTACACGCACAGAATCCTGTCACGCAGAAACTGTCTTTGATGTAGCAATTCCGATGCGATTGACAAGGAAGTCCTAATCCTGAACAAGAATCGGTGTCGATCAGCATTTCTATACTACAGCTTTGAATTTTTTCAAAGACATTAAAGCATCTTTACGAGGAGGAGAAATATCGCTGGTATTGAGGGAATCTTTAACAGTCTGATAAACAAAGTAGATATAACCGGTGTTCTTCTTCCGAGACAACGAAAGAGAAGAAGAAAATTATGTCCACGAATTTAATTTGGTAATAATAATTTAATGTAACAGTAATTTGATAATACAAAATTCGTATGATTTAGTAGTGCTTTCGTACGATTGATCAAAAAGCTGATACTACTAAAACGAAGTGTGAAGCCCGATGAAAAAAAGAGGCTTCATTGAAAAACAGTGGCATACGCCGATATAATTTGTAGCCAGTGTAAATTACGTCGCAGAAATATTTTAATTAACCTTCGAATCGAGCGTGCGAAGGTGAAAAAATAATTATAGCACCTGCTTATGGATAATGATAGAGGAAGCTGAAGCGTTTCGCAGGAAGTGGAGTACACTCACCTACAGACTTGTAACACCTTCCTTCCACGTAGTGAGAACCGTCGGAGCACTGGCAGATCCTTTGTCGGCACTCCGAGTAAGGGGCGAAGGTCACTTGACATTGAATGTCCACTTCACAGGGGTCCCCGATAGCATTCGCCTCTGTGAACAAATTCTCCTCGAATCAATTTCGACGTTGATGGATTCCGTGATTTCGTTAGAAGCTATCCTTCGCGTGGGAAGTCGAGGAAAATATAGCTCAGTTTTGTCGGACCGACGAGCACGATGAACGACACGCTCTAGAAGACGATGAGACCGTGAGAACGGAACGGCTTAGAATACGAGCGAAGAAAGATGTCCGTGGAATCACGTTTTCCGGGGTCGGCGACACCGATTCCGACTTAGCGACGAGGACGATGATTAATCAGAATTTTTATCCAAGTTGATCGGTTCCTGTTGTTCATTCCAAAAAAAAATATTTAACTATCTGTGCTCGACTCGATTAGATGAAATTGACGCGGAAATTTACCGAGGTTATTTTTATCCGATTTGATCGATGATTAGGGAATTAATTAAAAAATTTCAAAGAAATGGAGGAACACGTTACATAATGTTAGAAGTGAAAGAGCGCAATGAATTCTAATTATGTAATAAAATTAACGTTATAGATATTGATATTATTTTCGTCATATCAATTTTCGTGACTTCTGTTTTCCAACAAGTATTTTTACGTTTTTATAAGTCGTTCTATACATCGCTTTAATATGGAGAATTTCCTTTTTCATATGTAAACTGAATACCTCGACTTTTAGAATTTAGTAAGATATGTTTTATTATAACGTAATGAGAAATACTTGAAAAGTATACCTTTGAGACATTCCAGGTGCGTGCGATTTTTATAGGCGATAAAACCGTCTTTGCACAGACAGGCTTCCTGGTTCCAACAATAAGCATTCTTCATACAGTCTTCGTCGTATCGACACTTTGCCAACGTCTCTGAAAAATTCATATGAGCGTTACACGTCCTCCTTCAAACAGCCAAATTTAATCTCTAATTTTCAACATTTTCACATTCATAATTGTCGCGTATAACGCACTTTCGTTTCATACACCTCGTTCAGCTTACACGGGCCAATTTTCTAGCTGTTCGTAAGGATTGTTCGAATTTCTGACGAAATAAGGGTCAGGGGTCGAGCGCAAAGGGACTAGAATCGCATATACATACGGGGAGGTGGTGTTCGGTCGCTGCATCGCGGCAGTTGTTGGTTGACGTAAGAAATGGTTGCACAGACGGTGACAGGCACGAGGACGAGGAGCCTCGAGATCCCGACCACCGTCCCGATCGGTGTCATTCTCGTACCACCGTTGGAACGTCTTCCTCTCGGCGTCGTTTCATCAGCCCAAACTGAATGATCGTCATTCCCGATGGTCCCGCGAAGGATCTCCCGTTTCTTCCTCGGACTCGTTCTAGCCAGCCCGCTAGGCTCGTCTCTTCACGGTCTTCTGTGTGCGTTCTCACCGTATTCGCGTTACGCAACTCAGCCACGAAGCTCCGCTCTATTTTGCTTCACGTTAAATTCGATGACGGCATCGCTTCAGTTGTATATACTTGCTCATCGACTCGTTTCGTGTACCGTGATTATCGCCAAACCCGGACTAATCGAGGACGATCGTTCTTCGCGGTGTATTTGTCGACCGTGGCGATCTTCTGAGCAGTCAAAGTTTTCGAACAGCGTCCAATAATGTTATTTCGTTTAATTTAATTTACGAACGTTGTTCGATCTTTTTTTAATTACCGGTAACCATCATGACTGAAGATAATTTAAATTTACGATTTTATTATTCACACCGGATACCAATTGCTATTAATAAGAATCGAAGATGGTTGAAATTGATTCCACGATGGTTAACGGTAACCAAGTTCGTTTAAACTAAGATATATATTCTTATACCATAACTTTTTTTTAGTTATAACAGTTATGGTCCCTGTTTTCAGATATGAATTTAGAGGGATTCACATTTGGTATTTGATGACCTCTTCTCTACACTGCTTCGGAAAGGCGATTAACTCAAGTTGGTAAATCGATACGCGGCATGGATTTGATTCGCGAAAACGATTTGTTGCCATTGTTACAGGAAGCAAGCGAGGCGCGTTTTACCGATCGCGAGTGAAATTAGGTTAAACGCGGTCGGTTGGTATCGATCATACTTTAAACTCGATTAATCGATCGTAACGAGTTAACAAGACGTTAAGTTTGTTTTCAATTCGGCCGCCGATGACCGCGCGTCGCGTCGCATCGGTGCACTCGTCCACGGTCGCTGGACAATCGATCTAATCCGAGAGGCTCTCTCTCCATTATACGGTATTTCGCCGTAACCACGTAACAGGTTGCCAACGATGATAAGTATGCGTTAAATCGATGATTCAACTGCGAAAGTATGTGATCACGGTTAACTTTAGACAATGTTTGCGCAACAGCGCGGAAATAAGAATATTATAAAGATCGTACATCTATCGTTCTCTTTAGTTCGATAATGTTGAACCGTTATCAGAAATTTTTGCTGATTCTCTTTTACAATCTGAACACGCGATGCTGAACCTGTGGCGAATATTTCGTAATAACTACCGCGAAGTCTTTTATTCGCTTTCGACTAGAAGGTTGCCGATCGATGGTCGAGTTTAACGTGCTCCGCTTCCATAGTTTCGGCCTATTACACAACGATAGTCGTACGTTTAAACACAGAAGCCACTATTAGGTATATCGAGCCTCGTTCCTTTCATCGTTGTCACGTAGCATTCGTGCAATGATTCTCAGAAACTTTATTCGATTCTTACGGTAATGATTTACCAGAACCTGACGATTGAGTCATTGCGCAACTTGTATGTGCATTAGTAGATTTGTTCGCTACTATTTTTATCGGTAGTGCGTCAGTATCAGACCTGTAGCTGTATTTAATAGTTGTAAATATAACTTTCGATTACTTTGTATTAGAAGATAACATAGAATAATAATTCGAGCTTAAACGTTGATATTATAGGCAGATGTATGAAATGAGATTTCTATCCTGATATAGCAAAACCAGTCACGATACATTAGTCATCCCTATATAGAAATAGCTGAGTATCGCGTGGAGACGGATTTGAGATTTTGTCATACGTTTTGGAGGGTTAAATACTGCCATTGTTCCCAGGTCACGTGTGACTTCGTAATAGGGTTTCACGCAATAGCAAGCTTTGTTTAAGTCGTACGCTGCAGTCCAGCTCAGAGAACAGTGCGTTATACCGAAATATCAGACGACAAAAGGGAACGACCTCCCTTGTTCTTTAATTATGTGCGGTTCCAAGCCGACATTCGCCTAACTGTGAGAACCAGCAGCGTAGATCCGGCCTCTTCGTGTTTCCCCACGAAACCGAAGAAAGGATCACTCGGTCATGAAGGAACGAAACCACGCGAGACTTTCCTTATAAATTCACTCGCCCCAAGATCTCGAGATCTTATCGCTAAAGAAACCTCGTCGAGACCGTACACTAGCGGATTTTTCT